CAACCCAGAGAGAGAAAATACACAAATCTCCATCTCAACAAATGGCTGATTACAGTGTTACAGGTATATCATCTTAAACTACAGGGGGAGCACAATGGACTGAGCACAATGGCACACACCTGTCAACCCAGTAATTAAGGGAAACACAAATAAGAGAACAAGAGTCCAGATCAATGTGGGCATAATGTGAGACCCTATCCTGAAAAAAATGCAAAACAGGGACTGTTTAAGCAAATACAAAGGCAGTACCCCAAAAAAAAAACCAAGGAAGTGTCACCTCAATCACTAGAAAATAAAAATTCTTACAACTTAGTTTTTTTTCCCCTCAGAAATATGTTTTAAAAGCATGTTTTAAATCCAGATACTTGATTTAAATTTTTAAATTAAAAAAAAAATTTGGTGTTGGAAATTTTGCTCAGTGTTGAAGAGCACTTGCCTAGCAAGTACAAGGCCCTGAGTTTACTCATCAACATCACAAAACAAAAAATAAACAAAACTAGCCAGGCACCATAACTACTCAGGAAAGGCTGAGATCTAAGGATTATAGTTCAAAGCCAGACTGGGCAAATAAATATGAAAGACACATCTCCAATTAACCAGCAGAAAGCCAGAAGTAGATCTTCAAGTGGTAGAGTGCCAGCTTAGAGCCAAAAAAAGCCAAGAAGGAGCACAAGGCCCTGGATTCAAGCTCTAATACTAGCACATACTCATATATACTTCTGTATATATATATATATATATATATATACATACACACACACATATATTTGTGTGTGTATATATATATATATATACACAAACACACTTATATGTACAACTTTATTCTCTATATATTAAATTGAGCTGAATTATTAAGCAATTGGTTTAGGAAAATATACATATCCAAAGTTACCTTTCCTCCAGACTGCTTTTTAGCACTTTCATATAATTCATCAATGTGTGAGGTAAAAGACATAAAGTCAGGAATGACAAACTTTCTTCTAAAGGCTTGTGTCAACAAAACAATGTTGCTTTGAACACATCTGCGGAATGTAAGAAAAATATTAATAACTGGATGCCTTTCAATTAGTACCTAATAATAACAGCACTAATTAAGAGGATATTAATATCATATTTAAATGAGAGAAATTCATTTTATACTAATATATTTCAAAAAATTACTCCCTTCATATATTATTCCTTCCATCCAGCAGTCTTTCACGTCATTATAAGCTGAACTTAGTAACTCAGATGTTCCTAAAAACTGTGTCATAAAGTAACAGCATTCCACCAGGTTTAAGTACTAAGACGATCTAAAACACTTTTTTATCCTCCCAGTTTTTTGACTCTTTTTAATAGACACTCAGCATGACATTTGGCTAACAAAAATCACTTTAAAATATAACAAATGAGCCAGTGCTGGTGGCTCACATCTGTAATCCTAGTTATTCAGGAGGCTGAGATTGAAGGACCCTTTTGGGCAGGAAAGGCTGTGAGACTCTTATCTCCAATCACCTGGGGGGAGTGGAGCTATATCTCAAAAAGGTAGAGGGCTAACCTTGAACAATAAAGCTCAGGGACAGCACTCAGGCCCTGAGTTTAAGCTCTAGGACCAGGAAAAAAAAAAAAAAAATCACAGATGAGACTTTGTTTACTTTTAAATTAACTTCAAATATATCCCTCTTAGTTCTAGTACAAATATTTCATTAAAAAATTAAAATTTCACATTCATTATTTTTCTTTAGAATTTTGAAAGACATATTAAGGAGAGAAACTAGAGATGAAGACAACCTTATATAGTCTGACTAATGAAGTATGACTGAAATACTTAAATGCTTATAAAAGTAATATATAATTTTAAATAAAGTTTCACAAAAATACCATAATAAACTTTATAACACCTGATAAACTAGAATGCTAAGTTACATTGTTCTATTTGACATAAGATATACAATACATGGTCAAGTAAAAATGTTAAAACCGATTTCAACTTCATGGTGAGCCATGTGATTAGCAGAGCATGAAATCTAGTGATTTCAATGTTTTTCTGTGTAATAAAAAGGACTTAAGCCAGAAAATCAGCACACTAATGTAACCTTAAAGAAGCGTTTCATAAATGGCTTACAACCATCCTTATCACTCTGAGATTAAGATAGCTTCAGATTTCTGAGTCTTAGTAACCCAGTAATACAATATTTAATCAAGGAAAAGATGCTAGACATGTAAACAAAACCATAATATACACCATAATAAATCTTAACAGATTAAGATTTGAGTGCTTAAAAGATAAAATAATCAAGTGTCGAAATACTAAGCCAAACTATTATTATGAGAAGTTATTTATGTAACTGGATTCCTCACAGATAAGCAATTTGATACTACATTGCCATATCTGAACAACAGACTTTTAAAAAAGCCTTGACTTTCTTTTTTAAATAAGTACTAAGTTACAGGTATTATTTTGTTTAACCCTCAAAATATTATTGCTTTGTGAAGAATTTCTCTATTTCACAAATGCACAAGTTCTAAATAAGAAATTTTCAAATTTCAGTATCTTAATTCAAGTTCTAGATGAAACACCAAATTAAAAACCAGGTTTCATACTTCTAATGTTAATGAAAACATTATATATTTACTTGGCTAACATGAACTTAATATACAGATTTAAAATAAAATTCTAATGTATAAAGGGCTATAGTTTCAGTGATAAGGATCTAATACATTAAAAAATTAACGATTTCTACTCTATAAATGTAGTATTAGCTGACATTCTAGAGCTAACAAATATTTTATTAAGCTTCCAAACTTTAATAAATTTCAAGTAGTTTCCAAACAAAATGTTAATGTTAAAACTAAAATGTTAATGTAATATATCTCAGATATTTACAATAGCTTTTAAAATTTCAACTTGAAGTATCAATTTTGCAAGAGAGTATCAAAGGAGACCTTCTTCAAAAAGCCTAATTCCCAAGCCTGCACTACTATCTTTGTATCAAATCAAATGTCTTCATTTTATAAGAAGTTACAAATGAAAAGGATCAAATTCAATGAAACCACTATTTGAATCTAATTAATCAGAATCTTTAAAAGGAGGATTTAAGGCTTATGAGTATTTATTGTTAGCAATATTTGGATTTTCTCCTTTGTCTTGCTTTATCTAGCAGAAGGTGCTGGCCAAAAAAAATAAAATAAAAAAAGCTATGGCAATAGCTTTAATGATGAATTACCAATGATGGGAGAAAATATAACACTTAAAAGTGTTATAATAACTTCATACTGATAAATGCTTCAAATAATAATTCCTTTTTTTTTTTTTTGCCAGTCCTGGGGGCTTGAACTCAGGGCCTGGGCACTGTCCCTGAGCTGCTTTTGCTCAAGGCTAGCACTCTATCACTTGAGCCATAGTGCCACTTCCAGATGTTTCTGTTTATGTGGTAATGAGGAATCAAACCCAGTGCTTCATGCATGCTAGGTAAGTAAACACTCTACCACTAAGCCACATTCCCAGCCCGTTTGTTTTTTTTTTTAATTGTGAAAATATCGTACAGAGGGGTTACAATTACATGGGCAAGGTAATGAGTACATTTCTTATCAAGCATTGTTGTCTCCCCCTTTATTTCCCCTTCCCATCCCTTCCAATAGTTTTCTTGAAAGTTATTTTAAATAATGTCATTAGTCTAACTGGGAAATAAAAAGTCATATAAAATGAATTGTTAGGAGGAAATACTTATGAGTGACATCTTTGTGTTCTGTTTAGATTTTTTTAACTGTTTATTAGGAATAATAATTTCCTTTTTAAATGCTTAGGTCTAACAGCTATATAGTACATATCAATGTTTTACAACAGTTCATACACATGATTCATCAATAAAAAGAATTTTTTTAGAAAACCAAATAATTACAAATGCAGACCACTCATTTTCTAAAAAAAAACAAAACAAAAAAAAAACCAGAAAATTATGACCAGAGATAAAAACAGCCTTATTACTTATAAAGTTAAAACATGTATGAATAAAGAAGCAGTTTTCAGCATTTTTTTTTACTTTTATTAAAGGATTATTAACACTAAAAGCAACTGACTATGTAGCTGGGCACAGGCAGTCAAAGGCTGCAATATAAAGAGTTTTAGAACTCATTTTTCCATTTAAAAAACAATCATACATCATAGTATCTCTCTCATTACTACAATGGCCTCACACTTGCTAGACAGGTAACCTACTACTTGAGCTGCATCTCTAGCTCATTTTTGCTTTAGATAACTTTTAGAAAGAGTCTCCCTTTCTGCCCAGAGCCAGCCTCAGACCATGATCTTCCAACTTACTGCCACTGCCCCCTGCACAGTAAGAGGTAGGCTTATGCCACCATATCGCTCTTATTTAGATGGAACCTAACTTTATGCCTAGATTGGCCTCCAACTATAATCCTTCCACCTCCCAAGTTGTTGGAAGTTATAGACATGAGTATCTGACAAACTCCTTGAGTATTTTAGATGAAACATCAACACTTTGACTTCAACCAAAACTACCCACCTTTATATAAATTCACATTTTAACACCTCCTCCCTAGCTGTTTGGAGGTGATATATTTTGCTTCTGGAAATACAAACTAAATAACTTCTTACATTTGGAAATAGAAAAGAAACTTCTCTGAAGTAATTATCTTTCCAGATGATCTGAAAAGGTGATTTTGAGTCACCTCATTCTAGTGAAGAAAATAAAAATCCTGTGGACTACTAATATCTGTACTTATATGGACTACAAAACACATGTGAAGTTTGGAAGTGGTTGAATTAAAACCATAGACTTTTGTGAAAATTGTGTTAACATTTAGTCTGTTAGTATAATTATAAATGGAAAATTTTATAATTAAGCTCATTTGGCTTCTTAATTCAGAGTATTTAAACTGCTTTTAATTTTGTATAAACCTAACATGTTTCTTTTGTTTTTTAGCTTTCATATCAACTTTATTTTCAGAGCCAACCTGTGTGAGCTAACAAATGCCAACACTGCCAACTACTGAATCATATTCCTTTTTACATGTACCAAAATCTCATATTCTTCTGGGTTGCAAAACAGGATTTACTGTTCACATCTGTCTGTAAGGCTTTATTACAAATTAAACAAAGACACACACACAGAAGTGCTCCTAAACATAGCTTGTTTCTAAAGCACAGAACATTTTGAACAGAATTAAATATATAAAATATGAAACTACTTAAAACTCCAAGGTTAGTTTCTCGTATCTATTGTCTACAAATATATTTGCCACTTGCAAGCTATACTCACAGATAAAGCAAAATAACTCCCCAAATGACACTACACGTTGCATACATCACTAAAAATAAAATAATCCCTATTGCAAAGGAACAAATAAGTCTAGAACTAAACTCTCTCCCTCCACAATGAAAAAGGATTCCATAGACACAAAACTCCAATTGCAAAGCAAGACTAATCGGCACACTTTAAAATCAGCTGAGGTAACAGAACCAAGAATGTTTTGAGAAAAGATAAAAATACAAAACTGTAAGCAGTGCTTTACAGCATGCTAGGAAACTTAAAAGGATCTCAATAAAATATTTATCCCTTCTTATAACTTAATGATCTAGGACATTCCCAGGAGATATCTACAACTTGTCATTCAACTCCCCCTGTTCTGAAGAACCTAAAGGGAATTATATACACATATACAAATAAACTTTCAAAGTAGATGCAGAAATTATTTGGGTCTACTTCACTTTTAAGCCTTTATTGAGTACATCCAAACTGTAAGTGATATCCAAAGTAAGATGATTTAGAGAAGGCCGGTGTCTTGATTTTCACCTTCATGCAAGTTTCCTTAGTGGTTCCCTCAATTAGTAATTTAAAAATATTTAACTTTACGATGTATTACAAACATGCTGTCCGTTAAATTTTTATTCATCAAACTAAAATGAGTAATGAAGAAAATAAACACGCAAATACAGAAATGTCAAAAATGTTCCCATTCAACCAAATTAAGGGTTTTAACCTCCCAAATTGTCTTTAGTTCTTAACTGTGAGAGAAATTAAAAGTCAAAAGCCCATGTCTTAATAAGGCTAAAGAAAGAGAAGCATATAATGTCCTATGTAAATCTAAGAAACACAGAGCTATATGAAGCTCTGGAATGTCATTTAAATCACCTTCTAAATAAAAAGAACTAGGAGAAAGCTTGCAAGATGTGCAGATAGTGTTCAACAGAGCACTCCCAAACTGTACGCAATATCCAGGTAAGATAAACTGGAAACATCCACAGCTAAATTTCCTTACCACAGGTTTAAAGAAAATACATTGTTAACCCAGTGTATAACAAACTCGTATATAATAACATCATTGTTCTTCAAATAAATCCAATATGTAGAAAGCACTGGCCTTCAAAGATGCAATATTGTTTTGAAAGCAAAATCACCACATAACATAGCAAATCACCATTAAAGGTTTGGCAGAAATTTTTACTTTTTAAAAAGATCTTTGTCTAGCATGACACCATCTGATGTTGTTTGAAGAGTTAATCTTAACATATCCATACACTCTTTCAACCTGGGATCAGACGTTCGCAATCCTGTAGATTTGAGTGCCTGTTTTTAAAAAAATAAGAGTTTGTAAATATATAGTGCAAATAATGTATATGCTTATTCCAAATACAAGTTTTAATCCTGTGCACAAAAACATCTACCCAAGACTTGATCATGTATGTGGCCTTTGTGTCACTATTACCCAATTTCTGGACAAGTTTCTCATTGTTTCTTTCATTTTCTTTCACTGATTACCTTGAAATGAGCATGTTAAAATTTGAAAACATAGTAAGAGAAACAATGTCAGTCAGAATCTACATATCAGATGAGATTTAAGATTATATTTCAATAATACTCCATTACTGATTTAATACTACTAAACTTCTTAAAAGATAGAAAAATATAAAAACTTACTGTAATAAATTTATGAACAGGTATTTTTTCTTGTCCTTCAGCAATTGTATAGAACAGCAAATCTTCCAAGCTAGGTAACAGACCCTGTTTTATTTTACTAAAGGGGAAGGAGAAAAAAAAAACATTATTAATTCTTGTGCAACTATTTTAACTAAGTCCATTATTAATTGTTGAGCCAGACTACAGCTAAACTGATCAATTAGCCAAGATTAAAAGTCATAATATAAACTGATTTACCAAAATGACACCAGTATCACTAAAAATAATACTAAAAAACAACTAAGGGGCTGGGAAGGTGGCTCAGTGGTAGAGTGCTTGCCTTGCATGCCTGAGGCCCTGGGTTCGATTCCTCAGTACCACATAAGCAAAAAGAAAAAAGCCAGAAGTGGCACTGTGGCTCGTGGCACTGTGGCTCAAGTGGTAGAGTGCTAGCCTTGAGCCGAAGAGCTGAAGGACAGTGCCCAGGCCCACAGTTCAGGCCCCCTGACCGGACCCCCCCCCAAAAAAAAAAACTAAAAAATTATTACATAGGTATTTATTTACTCCTAAGATTTGAAATCCTATTTACCAAATCTACAGTGGTCTAATGCCTAGCAATGTGTTACAGTAATGCCTTCCTATAAAATCCAGTATAATCAATCAATATTAACCCCAGAGTTCAGTAATCATCCAGGTAGGGGTCAACATCATGATCTTTTAAAATATAATTATTGACTATAATTCCAGTAGTGAACCTGATTGTAGAATCTGAAAGGGACAGTAATTTACTCAATGAAAGTTCACAAAAGAGATTGAATTAGGGCTGGGAAGGTGGCTCAGTGGTAAAGTGCTTGCCTTGCATGCCTGAGGCCCTGGGTTCAATTCCTCAGCACCACATAAGCAAAAAGAAAAAAGCCGGAAGTGGCACTGTGGCTCAAGTGGTAGAGCGCTAGCCTTGAGCTGAAGAGCTGAGGGACAGCGCCCAGGCCCAGAGTACAGGTCCCACGACCAGACCCAAAAAACAAACAAACAAACAAAAGAGATTGAATTATACAAACCATAGAGACTATTAATTATAAGTTTTATCATAAAAACACATTAACATTTTAATTAAACTAGAACAATATAACGCTAAGGTTAATAAAATTTTTGTGTGGCTTTGTCATTTCTTGTGTAGGAACTGAAAACATTTTATTATTCAGAATATCAAGAATGATCACAAACACCATAGTGATATACGGAAGGATTATATGTCTAAGATCAATCTACTCCCCCACCAATTATATGATGGTTAAAATGTGTTAGGAAAATATACAAATACCTATATATTTGTATGTATAAAACACAGAATACAAATATAAAATATTCAGGAAAGAGTTTCAAGAAAGAATTTTAGAATATAGTCAATTCTATATCCTTGAGATACAGATATCTAGTCATTAAGTTCAGTAGAAACTTTCATAGGAAAATTATTTTGTCTACAAAACTGGCACAATCCTGCCTGTTTAAAATTATATAGATTCCTGCTTGAGTTAACAATTATGTAGTAGTTTCATATATTAATATAATTGAGTATATTTAGTTACTTTCTAAACTACTATTGATCTTTGTAATTCTATCTTAAAGGACAGTAGAACTTAAGAGTTCTCAAAGGGAATATTTATGTTGCCATTAATGTTTTCAAAATTTCAAACAAAATTTTAGTTTTAAAAATTAACCTTAAATTATATGAATTTTTTAAAATTAAGGTTATTATTTAAAAATTCAGTGACATGTCTTGTATATATAATTATTCCCTGAAACAATTTTTGCTACTGGACAGTTAAAAATCTTCAGTATTTTAAGAATAGCTGAAATTTGTTGATCATTTATGTTCTAGATATTACTAAGTGCTTTACATACACTGTAATCTTCTATTGATCTTTTGATAGAGACAATTATTATATAAAATGCAAGACTATTTCCTTGGAATTCAGACTTAACAAATTTATCATTTGTTAAAAAGAAAAGAGTATTTCTATTTCAAGGTGAAGAAACGAAAGTTGAAAGAAATTAAGAAACTCTCCAAGGTTACACAGTAGTAGCAAAGAATTTAGAATCCCTGTTTCTCTTAATGTAGAGTTCAAGTACTCATTACTACACTATGGTGAGTCTAACTTACTGTTTAATTACTACATTTATAAGAAACAATTTTTCTAGGTCTTATCTTGATCTAATACCCTTAACAAAGGTCAAAAATGCTGATGACCTAATATTTCAAGAAAGACTGAGCCAGCTGTCAAAAAATTCATGGATGATAACATTCCAATTATTTACAGAAAATGGTTTGTCAAATAAACATCAGAGAGTGGCAGTTTATCACTTTTAAAAAGTGCAGAATAAGCTTTCTACATATTTACCACACCAGTAAATGGTATTTGCTTTGTCTAAAAGCTATGTAAATAACATAAAATATACACATCTTTAACTTATGGTACCTAGTGCAAAAAAAATTAAAATGACCATGTTATTGCCATAGTTAACAAAAGGGTAAATATTTACCTGCTCTGGACAAGAAACTAATTTTTATCCAAAGGAGAAATAATTTAAGCATGCCTAACAATGGTCAAAATCTATTTTTAAAAAACTTCAGCATTTAAAAGCTAAGCGTCATGCCTGCAATCCTAGATACTAGGAGGTGCTCATGCCTGTAATCCTAGATACTAGGAGGCCTAGAGCTGGGGATCATAGTTCAAATCCAGCCTAAGGAGACAAAACGGAGACTCTCTTATCTCCAATTAAACAGCAAAAGCTGAAAGTGAGGTGTAGCTCAAGTGGTACAGTGCCTGCCTTGAAGAAAAGACTATCTTGAAAGAATGAATTACAATCAATATTCTGATAAACAGAATACAAATATTCTCCTCATTCTTTCAAAATCATAGAAATTTTACCAAATTTTATTCTTACCTTACTGTCTTTTCTCTGATCTAATTTAATGTTTTTATCATAAAGTACTTGCTATTAAAATACAAATGTTAAAACCTAGTTTTCAGAAACTATATAGTTAACTAGAAAATTTCAAATAAAAAAAAGATTATAGGAGGCTTTCAAATTGTATACTCAGTGATTATAAATCCAAGTTAGCCTTCTAGATTCTGTTCTTATTTCATGATAAAATTGTTATAATACTTAGGAAGTAAAATGACATACCTACAAGAAAAATCCTACCATTCTTTAATA